CAGCTTTCCTCTTTAAACTGGGTTAATTTATAGGTGTTAGCGCGAGAATTCGCGCGATGTTGGTGGCCACGGAGGCGGTCTTATGTTACCAGCCAGTTCTTTAAACAAAAGAGTGCATTTCAACGAGAATACTAAGTACAGAGAAAGAAGAAGAAAGAAAGAAAGAAATCTGCGAGACAGGAACCTTTATGGGGTCCTGTCACGATCCAACAATCAAACAATACAAACCTCGTCAAGACGGAAACTTCCGGCAGAAATCCTCCCAGATCGTCCTCCCAGATCGTCCTCTCTTAGAGAGTCGAATGTGGTACGCTAAAAATACGCGCCAGCTCACGAATTGAAGAGATTTATTAATTCTTAAAAGCCTAGATAGCTAGTAAGATCCTACCCTCGTGCTCTATTGAATTTTGAGAGGATTGAGTACGAATTGGTGGCATGGTGGGTGGTTGAACTAAATAAGATCTAATTCATGGACGCGTTTTGGTTGGGGTGGCCAGCTCGCTTGGGAATTACGTTAGCTAATTTGATGCCAATATTTTCAGGCAAGCAAATATCATGTGATGATTTTGTCACCGCCTGGCAAAAATGATGTGGAGAGAAACTGGCACAAGTAGCTTCCGATTCCCTCGTTGCATTGATTCACCAAGCTTGTTTAATATTCTTCCACAGCACTCTATCTATGCCGTCGCCATAAAACTTACTATCCCACACACCCCTTACTCTCGGTAAACGCCACCACCGCCACCATGCGCTTGACCGCTGAGCTCATTCAAAGTTCCCTAACATACATCAATCCGCTCACAGATCGTGAGCTTGATCTCCGAGGTGCGTTCACCCACTACACACCTGCCTGAAAAGAACAGGTGCTACACTTATGATTAAGAGCTGGATTGATATCGTCTTTTTGTGTGGTCGTGTAGGTCACAAGATCCCCGCAATTGAGAACTTGGGTATCGCCAAAGTAAGTGCTATGGTTCTTTAAATCCTTGAGGCATATTTGTCTCTGATGTCTCTTCAATTTGCTATTAGGCCAATTTCTGAGTCCGCACTCAACTCAGTAATGCACTTGCGAACCCGATGTTGACAGCTCCTAGGATCAAGATGCGATCGACTTCACCGATAATGACATCTCTTCCCTTGGAAACCTCCCCCACTTCCCTCGCCTCCGCACCCTCCTCCTCGCCCGCAACCGTATCAATCACATCCAACCGGCACTCGCAACTTCAGTGCCTAACCTGACGACTCTGGTCTTGACTGACAACAATGTGTCTGAACTTGCCGACCTAGATCCGCTGCGCACCTTAGGACGGCTGACACACTTGTCCCTCCTCCAAAACCCGGTGACACGTAAAGAGGTTTGTCTAGCCTTCCATCCATATACTAGTCAAATTTGGCTATATGGTATGGTCTGGACTACGTCGGGAGCTAAGCTAACCGGTTCCTACAGAACTACCGTTACTGGACTATCTGGCGCATTCCCTCCGTCCGCTTCCTTGACTTCCAGAAAGTAATTGACGCCGAGCGCGCCACTGCGAAAGAGCTTTTTGGCACCTGCGAGGAACCCTCGTCCCTCGCCTCCAAGATTATGGGTGTCAAGTCCCGCACTTTCGACGTCTCCGCCCCGGCTGAACGCACCCCCGCCGAAAAGGGTGTCCGAGTACAACTCACCGACAAGGAGCGCAAACGGGTTGAACAAATGATTCGCGGCGCGAAAAGTCTGCAGGAGATCACTAAGTTGGAGAAAGAGCTTAACGAGGGACGGATACCCGGCGGAGCGGATGCCGAAGGTGATGAGGCCATGCAGATGTGAGAGATGAGATTTGGATCTCTGTCCTGGGTTGTGCCGCGGATCATGAACATGCAATCACGCTTTGTTGTATTCAATTTCTTCTCTGGAGCCTAGCTTTCTGGGGTTCTGTTCTGATCGTGTGGGGTTTGGTGTGTATCGTATCTGGGTAATTCCTGTGCCCCTAGTATGGGATTGGAAAAAGATCCCGACTATGAATTGTGAGCTTATCAAATCTAAAAGATCGTTTGGTGCTCCAACAAAAATAATTGTGCCAGATATTTCCATTGAAACTAGCAGAAAGACTACGACCATTGCTCGCCTTGCCTCTCACCTTACGCTAAAAGGTTGATTCCCCATTCCTCTTCAGCTCTATGCACTTATTTGTGAACGTGATCATCTCCCCTGGCCCACGACTTGGCACCATGCCAGAGCACCCCATGAGCCTTTTTTTTTACCGTATGCCCCGGGCCTTTGTTGATGTTTTTTTTTCGGATTCTCAACATCTGACACATTAATTGAAACATATGGGAACATACAGTCTCAACTCTTATGGAACACTGCGCTTGCGACGACAAATGCTCCCACACAAAGGATTCGTTCAAGGGCATGTGGGCTGCCATCAGTTGTTCCTGACCAGACGACGTCGTCTATGGTCGTGTACTTTTGCCCTGATTCGATATTGATCACGTCAACTTTGCTCCCTGACGCGGCGACTAAGTCAACCAGGCTCTGCTTTGCTTTCTTGCGGATTTTGTTCTCAGAAAGATCGATCCAAACGCTCTTTTGCCAGGGTCATTGGCTCAGGTCGGCAGTAAAAAACCAATAGCTGGCGTCTTTGCTCCATTTGGAAGCATCTCGTGGGAAGATTGGACAGACTTGAAGTGCTGATTGGCTTCATGTTCAGTCTCATGTCTGCGCAAATTTTCCAAAAGTTCGCCAAGATCTGCCTCAGAGACGCCCTCACAACAAATTCCGGGATGGCTGCAACCGAGATAAGAAACGACAGATAAGATGTGACGAAAGTAGACTTGCTTTGCAAAGCTCGAATTGCAGTGTGTGAATACACTAGTAGGCTCCGTGACATTGCAAAGAAGTGCGATCCCCGGGGTGTTTTCCAGACTCTTGTGCCTGGTGGATTCAAAGGTTTAGGAAATCCTCGGGATGTGTCTGACTCGGATGGACATCAACATGTTCAAAGAGAGCATCTATCGATAGGATTTATACCTGTTTCACAACTTTCCGAGGGTTTCCAGCAAGTGATGAAATCCATATTCGCGTGATGGTGCCAAGTATCTGGGTTTCATAGCTAATAGATAAATTACAGCAATCGAGTTCAATTTGGCATGGGCCAAGCCACAAGTAGGTACACGATGACAAGATTCTGACACACTTAGACGATGAAGTTCTGGAGTTGTTTCTTGTTGAGAATTTCTCCTTCCACCAATCTCCCCGTCTCGGTGACTTTCCCATTGACTTGCTCATAGCGTACCAGTGCGGGAATGTTTTTTGTAGCCCAGGTTGTTCGGTAAACATTCCGAGGGTTGCTCCATCTGATAGATATCAGCTTAGTGCATCGAACACGTTTTGAATGGAATTGGGAAAATCAATCATTTCCGGCCCCATGGTAGAACTTACTCGGGCTTTTGTCCAACCTCGATGATAGCTAATTCCGGCGCATCATCTCCGGTAAATGCTTTGTTGATATGCGGCAAGGCATCCCGTACATCTGGGCACCAAGGTTGCTTGGTAGTTGGATCTGATGAAGAGATGAAGGCAATGAATAACTTCGAGCCTGGGCTCAGTGCCAGCTCTTTCGCCGAACTGGGCAGTGTGAAAGTTTTGGTGATTGGCATTCTTGTGGCTTTGGATATAGTTCGAGCTTGCAAAACGTGGACAGTAATTCTCCGCAAGGGGCCCCCTAGTTGATCGCATGACTAAGCAGCCTTCGTTGGTTATCATCAAATTCTTCAACATCAGGATCACCATCTCCCTTTTTCTCATAGAAGCGCTCTTATCTGTCGAGAGATGTATAACAATCTTACACCTCCATCAACCACAGCTACAGGTTTCAATTTTACCTATTCCCGTAGCCTCAGGGTTCCTTACCCTCTCCACCTAGATGTCTCGATGCGTAAAACGATGTGTTTGTCGTACTTCGTACTTATTGTCGTGTCCTGGGGACTTGTATTGCTGATTAAATTGGACTTGGTACATGTGGTCAGTGTTAAATTGTGGATGTGCTCGTATTCTGCACGTTGACGCAATGTAAGCGAAGTTCAGCCGCAGACTACAGTTCCTCCCCTCGTTTAATACTGACCGCCGTAGAATCCAACGTTTTCACGAGTATGGATAAAGCAGCAGCCAGCTTCCGCGCACAGTGGGTCAATCCATCAGACTTATTCTCAATCCTCTTAATTATTGGCGGAGATGTGATTGGCCTCGCTCTGGCAGCCCTCTCCGGTGGCCCTATCACCCCCGTCACCTTCTCTTTTGGATGGGTGTCGTACGCTATCTCAGCGTTACTCACTGCTCAGAGCGAGGACCGCCTGATGCCTCCGAGTCCTGACTCTTCGCTCCGACTGATCAACATAAGCACGGGGTATACGCGGTTCAACCGATCCTGGACTTTAGGGCGGGTGTTTCAGAATTATGAATACTGGATGCCGGCAGAAGTGGAAAACCATCTACAGAACCACCCGGTTTTGTACCAAGATGAGGAGTCCGGGGTCGTAGACAAAGACACCTCGGGGAAGCTCACGGTACCGACAGAAACATCTTCCGATTCTCGCAGATTTGTGAGCCCTCACCAGGCACGCCTTTGCGTCGCTGTTTACGAGTGGGCGCTGGATGGACGTTATCCTGTGGCCAAACCTGGTTATGACTGGGTGCATTGGCTAGGAATCATCGTGACAGTGCTTCAACTAGGCATCAGTGCGATCCCGTTCGCTCTCCACGGAGACTGGAGTATCTTTCTGGTGACGGCGGCCGGGACAATTCTGGCCTATGCGTCTGGCGCGCTGCCGCAGTGGCGGAAGGAGAAATGGGCGTGTCGAACGTTGGACAAGCGCAAAGACATCGCGTTGACGCTTGGTAATGGCACGCAGCATGTGATCGTGGTGCAGGGGGCGAAGGGCGGGTTGGATTTGGAAGACATGGCGGGGGGACAGTTACCGCGCGACGAGGAGGGGCGGGCACGTCGGGGTCCGTTGATGCGACTGATGACCCCTAGCAATACTACGCGCATGATGGCATTCCTGTTAACGGTACTGTGGCTCATGCTTCTTCTTAGCAGCACAGGAATCAAAGATCATGCGTGGTATCTACTTGCGGTGGGTGGTATTGGCATGATGCAGAATCTCATCACGGCTGGGGCTCCGCGTCAGCCGGAGATGTTGGGAATACCGATTCGGCTAGCCATGCGTTTGAAGTCAGGAAACGAAGCAAGTCCGATACCAATGGTTTTCGCCGAATTCAAAGTCATGCATACGCTGATGGAGCTCGAGTTGGACTTCAAGGGGGCTGGCCGAGCTCTGCTTCCAGAGTTCTTCCCTGGAGGCAGTCTACAATCGTGGGAAGAAAAATGGTGGTCTAGCAATGAACCGGACGTACGACGCCAGCTACTACGGGCGGCGAAAGAAAAGGAATTTCATAAACAAATGTGCAGGACGCAGGCTGAGTGAAAAGGGCCTACGATACCCCAGAAAATGCCTTTTTTTTGGCAATTTTCTATCCGGCGCGCGGTGGTGTCTCTTGTGGGATGACAGGTTGGTACTTCTCTACTGTGATCGAAGTACAGGTCAAAGAACCATTGTTGCATGCATTGTGCCCCAAAGCTTTGCTTTCCAAATCCAAACGGCTGCCGTGTTTTTCTTCGAATAACTACACCCGACTATACACATCTGCCTTCAAGCTTTAATCGGGGCCAGGATCTTGTTGGGTTCGGGTCTTCAAATACGACGTAGGAAGCACAACATATCAACCCACAAAAATCACTGATCGTCCTTGGCCTGAAATTAATCATGGAAGATAAAACCCTCGAACAACAGAGGCCGAATACGACTATGAGGAAGCATGAAGCCTAGAAGGTAGATTAAGCAGATGAGAAGCAGTGAAAAGGAGCATTAGAACAGCAAGCGAGACGACGTGAAGAGCAAATACGAGAATTTCTTGGCACGGAAACCAACCAACCGGTACGAGACTAGCGTTTTAGGGCTATGTTGCCGCGGGGCTTCATTTGACTGAAAAAAGTGCAACTCTCAAAGTCCCTTAGGAAGACAATCACAATGGCAGAGCATGTGTTCTTCCCTGATGAACCCCCAAGGCCTCTTCGGATCAATTACAACGGTTTACTATATGATGGAGGTAACTGGGAACAGTTCCCGATTCGCCATGGCTGGAAATTGGACACAGGAGCTGAAAGGTTCCCTCCACGTGCGATCCCGAAAAAGTTCCACTCTGGTATAGAGTGTTGGCTCTACTTCGGCATGCTTCACTGTGTTTTCGGGGACCAGCTAAATCAGTCCGATTTTCTCCTGCACAGAGAAGACGACCCCCAGCAGTATATAACAACAAAGCATCTTCATAAATACATCGACGACGCCAAGAAATGGAAGACGAACAAACTGGGCGAGCGAGCCGTTGAAATTGTCAAGAAAGTCTGTGAGCAACTTTCGATATACGGCAATCAATATGTGCGGGATGACATGTCATTGGCCATTCGGCTGATTTGCAATGTGCTCTGGAACATTGCTGTCAAGCGAGACGGCCCTCAAACCCAGACCCATCATGTTGAGCTATGGATGCTCACCGGAGAAACCGAGATCAAACGAATGGTCACAGAGGGATGGTGTCCCTTGGAGGCAGCGAAGTGTCGCGTGGCTGGTGGTGGAGTGGACACCCCGGCTTTTCTGCTTCAGTTAATGCGTGTCAAGGCTGGGTGGAACACGATAACGCATGGTTCCTGCACGAATACAGAATGTGTGGCGAACAACATCGATGAGAGCGATTATGTTACTCGACACGTACAAGAAGAGTGCACCTGTTCGCACCTCCAGTCAAATATCGAGCAGCTGCATGAAATTCTCCTGGATGGAGGGGTTCCCCTGTTGATGATCATGCCTAATGGCGAGGACAAGCTGGGCGACCACACTTTCAAGATTGAGATCGTGAGAAAGCGAGTTGGTAAGCTATACTTGGCTATCTCGCATGTGTGGTCCGATGGGTTGGGCAACACGGAGGGCAACAGTCTCCCGTACTGCCAATTAAAACTACTCTATGAGGAGGCAAGGCGTGTCCTCACTAGCGGTGAATATGTCCCTCGCTATGAGGGCGGCCCATTTGGGCCACTACACACTGGCGCGGCTCGATTTGCCCATTTCGCGGGCAGCCAAACTCTGCGTAGAGATGATTCGGTACTGTTGTGGATTGATACCTTGTGCATACCACACCAGCCCGACGTTCGGAGTCTAGCGATTCAGCGCATTCGTGAAGTGTACGTGGATGGTCAGTGCAAACTATCTATAAATTACTGGACGTTCTTAGATGGTAGCCTAATCGACTACAGCGTACCGGACGATTATCCTTGATTCAGAAATGAGGCATGTGAGTGCCAGCTCTACAAGTCACCTAGAGCTTCTGCTTAGGGTGTTGCACTGTTCGGGCTGGATGCGCCGGTTATGGACGCTTCAAGAAGGGCTGGCCGCTAAGAGCCGGCTGTACGTGTTGTTCTCTGACAAGGTAGTCAATATTGCCACCATTGCTGACGAGCTCCTAACTAAGCTTGGCCGAGGAAAACTGCCCATCATGCAGGAGAGGATTGCCAACTTTGCCATAGGTGTTTGGTTCACCTTCTTCAAACATACCATTGACTCAACATCCAAATTCGAACGTTTCGTCAGCATGGTTGCTAGTCCTTTTGAGAAAAACGATATCACCAACGATCAATTAATTAGATGGAATTGGTTTAATGTGGCCACACGAGCCACCAGCAAGGCAGCCGATCGCCCAATCATTTTAGCCGGTATCCTGAATCTCGACGTGAAGGAAATTCTCGACGTCAAGGGCTCTGATGCACGGATGCGGAAGTTCTACAGCCTAGTTGACAATTTTCCACAAGGCGTACTGTTCCAGCCCGGACCACGGTTTGAAGAAGAGGGAATGCGCTGGGCGATGAAGGTGTGTCAATATACGGAAGAAATCCAATACCTCTCGGGGGGTCCCGGAAAGATTACACCTCGAGGACTTCAGATCACATTATATTCGTCATGGTTATTCTCCTCCCGCATAGTGTTCGACATCGGCCTCTTCGATATTGACTTGAACTGCGGGCAACAGGCTTGGGAGCGATGGATCAAAGAGCACAATCTTGAAGATGCCGACAACATCTCTAGTGTCTGTCTGCTGAAGACTAAAACCCCCGTTGTTTTCGAACCAAATGGAACTTACGGGGTTATTGTGCTCGGGTCAGAAGGCTCTCAGCCTGGAGCATTGAGAACTTGCGCAGTGGTGTCACTGCGCACGACAGAGGATTCAGTCTACTATGCACAATATGAAACGCTGGGGGACATCAAGTCTATTGCCAGCCTTCTAGAATGGCCGGACAGGGGTTACTTTATACCAGTCGCCTGGGATGACCGGCAAGATCGTGAATGGATTGTTGGTTAACTGGATGGATTTTTGGTTTGATTGAACAGTTGGCTATCTGAAATCCAACCTGGGATTGAGCCACGCATAACAACGTTTTCAAAGCGTTGAAACTCTTGTCGTAATCTTGCAGCGTGCTTGAAAATACGAATCAAACAACCTCAACGACTTCAGTTACCCCCCTGTATACCTATAGGTAAGTCCCTCTCAGTATTTAATGGCGTTCGCAAAAAATGAGGCACGATGCTATTTCTAAACATCGGTCATGCGAAGACTGGCCCGATAGGCTCTATGTTGCATCCTAAGCAACATTAAAGCCAGAAACATGCTCAATTCCAGGTAGTCAAGGATTTATGATGACTTTGCTACATATGAGATGTGTTAGAAAAAAAAAAAACAAAGAGTCAGTCCATCACCTCTTGCGTGCACAAGTCAAGGTCCTTAACATGAGCCACATAGGCCACTGAGTACAACATCAATGAGCTCGATGGTCCAGAATTTGTTTATTTAACAGACCTGTTCGCTTTGATCTTCAGTCTCAGCGCCATTCTCCTCATTGCCCTGTGCCCACATGCGATCGGTAGACTCCCCAGGCCACAAGGTGCTACAGAGGTCACGAGCATCAGCCCCGTCTTCATAGCCACCATCAGAGCTATACATCATTAGATTGGATTCTTTAAATGTATGTACGACTCAGCATACCCAAGATCAAGGTTCTTCGGTGCCAGTATCCAAATTCTGAGAAGGATGGATGTAATGTGAGAGGAGAGTAGGGGAAGAGGTGAACTTTGGGCAGCCACTTTAAGAAGTCACCTGCCAAGGCAAACTACATAATTTCACAACCTTCCGGAAAAGATGCTCTTTCAAGAAGAGAGAGCGAAGAGGTCCTTTGGGATGAGCTTTTTTGTTTTACGGCATCTTAATCTTTGGCCTGAGCAAAAAGGTGTCTCAAAGCCTCCAAGTCTCTTAGCACTTCATCTTCTATCTTAATTCTCTGTCTAGCTCAATCCATCCTTCAGTCTTTCACAGAGATGGCTGAAGTGAGTATATGAGCCTGACTATCTAGATAACCTTGAGATGATTACGCTAACATGGCTTCTCTGCCACTTAGTCTACAACCGATGAGCAGTGTCTAGCTCCAGAGCTTCGCCATGCTCTTGATGACCTGAGAACAGCTGTCCATTCGGCGAATTGCTGTATGACTACCTCCCGCTTTCTGGACTCGTTCCCGAACCTCAGTACCCAGCACTCGGAGATCCAGAGAGCTGTCGAAAAGGTGGCTCGGTTTTCGCGGGACCAGGACAATAGCGCTGCTCAGGCCGTGCAAAAAGCCCGATCAGCATTCGAAGCTCTGTCTCCTGAACATCAGCACTGCTTGATGCAGTACTATGGGGAAGATCTCGGATTTTACCTCGAAATCCCCACTCCCCCGGACCTGTCGCATACTCCCACCTCAGTCAAGGAATTCCAGGTCTTGCTATTTGATATAGAAAATCTCCACCGTGCACTCGCCCGGGTACGTGGAGTAGAGGCGAGCATCACCAACGTCTTTTTTTGGCTACCGTCCATCCAACGACTGATGCGGGAAAATCGGGACGAGGAATTGCGGTTGTTAGAACTACGCAGCTTGGCCGAGACTCAACTCCGTAGGCAATTCTTTGCCTTGGATCGGAAACAACAGGATGTCCTCTGGTTATGGTATCACGATTCTATGGGGATCAGTGGGATCCAGAGGGATGGCAATGCGCAACACCCTTACTCAGCTAGGAACTGAGACGGAGATGACCATGGAGATGAAAGGATTGCCAATTCGAACACCGTTACAACGTGCAATCATTGACGCGCGAAAATGAAGGGGAGGACCAAGTAGGGAAGAGGAATATCATCATCGGGTCACTGAAACATAGTCCACCCACTAGCCAGATATCAGTTTTGCACCTAAGCCCTGTAACATCAATCATCTTTTCTTGGCTCATCTTGAATTCTTAATTCCTTCGGATAACGGGCCAAATTGGTGATTTTCGGGGAATTGTTCCTTCCTTGTCCTTCGAAGGTCCACCCCTCCATGGAGCTCCGTGTGACTTTCAAAATTGATAATAAAGGACTCTGTCTCAAATTGACGACGTAGAAGACGGGTCAACGACGAGAACAATAGCATGGCACACCGAGAGCATGCATGATTTATCTGAGATGACGCGCATTTACTGACTGGGCTCTAGATTCGATCACTGCAAGGTGAGGAAAAGAATGCGTGTCGAGGCGACCTCGTCAGCGGTGCTTCACGAGTAAGTTGGCCTGCACATCTAAAACGTGCTGATTCTATCAGCTTTGAGAAAACATCCATCTAACATAGGACAGGTGAAAATCGGCTTCTGTTCAAGATACGTCTAGTGACCTCTTTGGGCCTGGCGTAGCCGGTGCATCAAGCAACGGTCAATCCCAGATATTGGGAGATGATTCCAGTCAGAACATCTACTGTCTCCGGCATCATCTTTCTTCCAAGTACTGGCTGAACATCTTGAAGGTCTATCCAAAGGGGTCCTCTGGTCAAACATTCTCTCCCGTCTGGAGCTTTGTCGCTAGATCCAGATACTGCTTCTGAAGTAAGAGACACGATCGCCATACAGGGTATGGGTGTCGATCTTTTGATTCTCAGTTGATACCAACCAACAGATCTAAGCATGCGAAGCTACCAAAATCACTTTGCCCATCCTAGATGGCACCCCGTTTTTTCTTAAATTCTTCATGCATCGCCACTTCAGTGACTCCATTACTTTTACATGTCAAGGATGTAAAAGGGAAGAGTCAAGTTTCCCCTCATTCGTTGGGACATCACCCGCTTCAAACTTGGACCCGGTCATAGCTAGCCTATGGGTGTGGAGACACCATCCATCTACTCTTGATCAACCTCGGGTTGCATTCGCCATGACTGTACCCCGGGGTCATGAGGCCCAGAGCCAATTGACGGTATGCACACTTAGTGTCTCATGTTAAGAGTTCAGACTCTACATTCACTGAGCTATCCGAGGTGGACTTGGACGTTAATAGGACATCTCTCAAGTAACTTAAATGAGATTCCAAAGGAAAATAGTGCTAAATTAAGTATCACCTTGACACCGTGATCCTATACCAAGTAGATCCGAGTGTTGAAGGCCCTCGTGTTCAAGGACAAAGGTTACAGAAAAGGACGATGATTTTTGTTCGAAATAAACAACACTTGTTCTAACACTATTTACTATGCATCCCTTAATTCCGATAAAGGCCACGATGCCACATTACAACTGTCCCTTGATAATATCGGCCGCACGCTCAGCAACCGCATACACAGTGCTCTGAAGGTGACCGCAGACCTGGAACGGCATAACCGAAGCGTCCACAACACGAACGTTCGAGGTTCCATAAACCTTCAGCGATGTATCGACAACACCACCAAGCTCCTTAGGCAGCATGCCAGCTGTAGTAATCGGGTGGTAGTTTGATCGGTCTAGCGAAACGAAACGTTAGCAATGGAAGCCCCTCCACAAATCGATCAGTAAATTGAGGAATGCACGTACACTTGCTGTAAATGAACTTAGACCAGGCCTCGTCATCAGCACCAGCAGCAATAGTCGAAAGACCGGGGGTGGTTTCAGCGCCAGTCATATCAGCAAACGGCTTAGTCTGGAAGATCTCACGAATGAACCGAGCCGCCTGCGCCTGAGCGTGGAGATCAAAGTCCAGCATGAAGTACTTGGGGTCAATGATAGCCGGCGCCGTGGGGTCTGCGGAAGAAATGTGAATGCTACCGCGAGAGAACGGAACAGAACCCCAGTATTCACTGCTGTATGAGGCTCCAGAGGCCGAGAGCAGGATCTCTGCGACAGGGATTTCATCCTTGAAGATCAGATCCCACTGGATCTTGAAAAAGCGGTAGATGTCGCGGGCATTGGTGTTGTTGCCGTTGGCGGATGCAACCTGAGCTGCATAAGCGGGAAGCTTGCGAAGAAGCTCGGCTCCCAGTGCAGTGGAGTTGGGGAAGAGCTGGTTAGCTGAGGGGTAGGCGACGTAGCTAGCACTCTTGTTGGTGCCGTAGGTCTTCTTTGACTCGAACTTGAGACCGTTGTTCATTTGATCCTGCAAGTTTTCACCGACAGTTGGCAGGTTAATCTTGGTTTCGATTCCGTGCTTGGAAAGAATGCTGGAGAGGTTTTTGGTTAGCAATCGTCAAATATTCAATCGAGGCGGGGTCATGCTTACTCTGGGTTTCCGACACCAGAGAGCTCGAGCAGGACGGGAGATCTCAATGCACCAGCAGCGAGAATCACTTCGCGGGTAGCCTTCACCACGGTTTTCTTGCCGCTGGAAAGAGTGACCTCGACACCATCTGCGGTGGCCTCGTGACCCTCCTTCCAGGTAAGCTTGTTGGCGTGTGTGTTGAGCCAGACATGGAGGTTGGTTCTGTTCTGGTAAGGGTAATAGTAGGCACGAGCAGCATCTTCACGGATGTTGAGATCGGAGTTGACTGTCTTGGGATACAGACTGTATCCAACCATGTCACCGGTATTGGCGTCCCGGTTGTAGGGAACAGGGACGTCGAGGTTCTGGTAGGTGGCGTTCAACGTCTGAGCGAGACCATCGTTCAACTGGACTGAAGACCAGCCAACCTTCAGGGGCCCAGTGAAGCCGTGGTAGGCAGGATCAAAGGCAACACCTGATCCATCCAAGAATGGGTACTTTGTCGGATCTTGCAACTGCTCACTCTTTTTGAAGTAAGGGAGAAGAGTCTTCCAGTTCCAGCCCTTGTTGCCGATGGTCTCCCAGGCATCAATCTGGGCTGCCTGGGCACGGAGGTAGGCCATGCCGTTGATGGTCGATGTTCCTCCGAGTGCCTTTCCGGCACGCACGATTTGTGAGAATCCACCGGCATATTCTTGGGCTGTCGTCCCGTAGGCCCAGTCAATGTCGGTCCCGAAGGCTTTGCCGTATCCCAGAGTGTCGGTGACATTTGGGTTGTTATAGACAGAGCCGCCAGCTTCGATCACGAGGACGGTGGTGTCCTTTTGCTCGGACAGTCGGTTGGCAACAACGAGGCCACTGGTGCCACCTCCAACGATGATGTAGTCGTAAGTCGAGTCTGACTCTGACTTGTGTGAAGCATGGGGGACTGCAACTGCTAGTGGAAGCAGGGCAAGGCCGATAAGGCTGCGCATGATGGATATGACTATGGCGCTGAGAGAGATAGTTCAAGGAAAGTAGTCCACGGGATGTATAACAGAACTTAGTGATTTTTCCTAACGGTTTTCGTCGAGGCTACAGGGATGATTTATACTTATCCCAACAAGATTTACAAGCATGGAACACTCCCATCAGAGTAATCCCTCAACACGCGACCTACGTACCCCGTTACTCCGGACTCCGTGGAAAAAGGACGAGCAGAAGAATCCACTATCTAACACTATCTACCAAGTGTTCCATTCATCCCGAAATCGGATACATAGCCAAGTGTAAGCCAAGCGTAAGCTCAACAGGCGAAACTAGAAGTAGATCCTCCTCAGGTTGTAATTGTGGATCTAACGGGCAATGCTGACACCTCAAATCTCCGTTGTTTTCCCGTTATAGCGCCGGTAAGGAAGTTAAACTTCTGAAAGCGTCTCCATGTCTCTACTCGATAGTCCCTATTTGCTGATGCTATGATCCTTGACATAGATCCACTCGGCGAAAGGTGGCCGCAGCAACCTTGGAAGTCTTACTCATTTTTAGTCAGAAAGGCTCGATAGATTAATAATCATGGCATGCCGATCTTATTCGGAATGGGGCGGTGCCGAATCTCCACATCCTGCACTCTCGGCATGCCTAAGACACAAAGATAGATCCCGACTCGGTGGTTCTGAGCTGTTCTATGTTTCTACGCTTATACATCCTCTATGTTGTACTGTAACTATTTCTGGTTTTACTGGTTTTTTTTTTCTTTTCTTTTCCTGTTATTTCTTTTTTTGGGTGAACTTTAAATTCACTTTTTGATCTGATAAAAAAAAAAACTGGTGAATTAGGTTTCTCCCCTTCAAATGTTAGAGAGCAAATGGCACCATTTGTGGATACAGTGCGGAGATTTGTGACCCTGTTGAGTCAAAGTACTCCGTACTATATCGTGATTGGCAAGTAGTCTACGGAGAGCTCCGTACAACAGTTTTTTGTCAGATTTTGGGACTTGGAATCAACTATGGAGTAAACTCCAGCGTATACAAAATCCATAGTTGCCTATGTTGGCACACTCGCAATCTATCAATACCAACCTGTTAGCAGTGACGGACCAATCCCTCAGGCTAGGGTATGAAACATCTAGACTAGCACAGCCCAACCCCTAAATTTAAGGAAGCTCTTCACGAATTAAACCTGCCCACTGAGAAAGGTTGTGCTTATCGTAGCGGAGTTCGAACCTTCTAGAAGACTGGGCACGAAAAGATTATTCTTAGCAATTTGTTAATCCAGTAGTATCGAGGATCTGCAGTAGACGGGCGCAGATGAGAAGGAATGATTCCGCAGTCGAGCACGGGGTGGTGGAGGTACATCTAGCCTGGTGGCCTCCTCTCGGCCACAAGCATGAGGGTTGTTGCGGATAGAAAGAGAGTATACGTAGTAGCAGGAACGCGGTCTCAATCAAAGAGACCTTCAATAGTGAAATAGCAGTAAGAAAACAGGTAATTCAGATATTAAAAAAAAAAGGTAGGGAAACAGGTCAGGCACTGTCTCTCCACATCTTCACCTTCGATTTGAACATGCTCGTGGGTTTTACTTGTTCATGGATTTCAAAATCTCACTCATTAATTGTCCTACACTGCGCGACAATGCATGTATTCAAAACAGATCTAGTCGATCAGCATCCGTTCCCTAAAAAGTTCACCCCCGACAGATTCAAAGCATCTATTGTCTCCTCGTCACCCAACCCATCAAGATCCTTCCGCAGCCAAAATGACCGGAACCCCTCCACCAATCTCTGGGTAAAAGGTGCCACCTTGTCAACCTCCATCGGGGCAAAAGCAAGACGAATATACCGATAAGCTTTCTGGGCAGACATAGGTGTCGCAGCGAACATCGATCCAGGACCGACAAGACAAAGATGAGGCTTCTGGGTCAAATGAATCCAAAGGGCCTGTGCGAGTCGCTCGGGAGAATATTGAGAGCGCAAAGGATGAGTCTCAACCCGAGTCTCAACCCACACGAACATGCCCCCGACCGGCCAGACAAAATCATACATCTGCACTCGATCAACGACTTCCCAACCATCGACGTGGTCATCACTCGATCCATGGAAGAGATACTTGTTCTCTTCTAGAACCGTGCACATAGCCAGCATGCGCGCTTCATACCCGGCGCGTAACCCTTCCAGCCATCGTACCCAACCATCCATGTGCCAGCCCGAAGCGATCGGTTTGGACGATGTTCCAGATGTGTCATTCTGTTGACCAACGATCATCTCCGCTATTAGTGATTGAACAAATCCGGATGGTTGTTGAGTGGACACTTCTGTGATGCGAGTGAGACGTTCGATGATAGCCGGCTGTGCTGTGATCCAGCCGAGACGGCTGCCCGGTGCAACGGTCTTGGAGAATGTGTCAAGTCGCACTACTCGACCCTCGGTGTCGATGGATAGATATGAGGGGACAAGTGAGTCCAGGAAAGGATAGCCCGAGGATTTGCCCTCTGCGTTGTAGTTCTTGGTGTATAGATTTGGCTCCAAAGATGAGCCACGGTAATGAACCGTCTTTTCATAAGCGGATGGGAACTGCAAGTTCCAGTATGGCTCGTCCTCTATAATGATGACATCGTATTTCTGGCAGAGGGCGTAGATCTCCATTCGGCGTTCGAGAGAGAGTGTTCCACCAGTGGGATTTTGACCAGTTCTGTCATTCTGTCAGCACCTATTCCGATTACTGTTATTTTTTTGGTCGAAAGATACTCACGATACAGTATACATCAAATGAGGCCGTCTACCACGCCGGAAATCCCAATTCTCCAACACATCCTGTAACCCGCCTTTGCCACTGGCAAGCATACCCTGAGCATCCATCACGATACCGGCGACATTCAAGCCACGAGGCAATACCGTTTGAATAGCATTCATATAAGCAAACTCCTCACACAAGACACCCTCCCGCTGCTGGATCCAATCCCGGTCGGGATTCCATGTATTCGTGAATGCTTCAATAGCCTTCGCAAAACCATCGGTCGATCCACAGGTCAACAACACCTCGGGACCACCCGCATAGGGCACGTTTGGATGAAGATGGTCTCTGGCGAAGGAGCGCAGAAAGAGATTTAAAGGGGGTAATCCATCGGCGGTGCCATATTGGAGGGCGGTTGTTAAATCGATTTTGCGAGTGACATCTGACGTAGGGCTTTCCTTTGGGACTGTCACTCGGACGGAGTGTGAATCTGTGGTATCTTTGGCGCCGGATTCGAAGCGCTGGGGTAGAGCGACTTTTGCTTCGAGTGTATCATAGGGAAAATAGGATGCATGGGGCAAACCTAGTCGAATTAGTTCTATGCAGAAAATCAACTGAATTGTTTACTCCGTACCTCCAGCGAAATTAGCAATTCCGGGGATCTGGAAGTACTTATAGAAACCCTTGACACTGCTGGGTTTCTTGTTTTTTGTCGCGTAGGACAAGTGATGCGACAGGTCCAATGGAGCTGTCATGATTGCCGATCCAACAGTCTTACAGGAGGGGGATTGTATATGAGGATTCCCTTATTGAATGGACTCCCAGTCTCTGGAAATCATTTGGAAAAAGACGTTTTTTTTCAATCGGAAGCTCTCGGTTGACCCCCGCATTGCTTGATAATCAGTGGACTCCAGTCTCCACCGGATCTAACTGCATTTTGACTTGACCGGGTTTGGCTATAAGTTGGCTTAAAAATTAGGAAAGGAGATCACCAGAAGTAGATCCTCTTATTGAATAGAATATAGAGTACCGATTGACTCTCAAGTGAATGCGTTCTAATAGAACGAGCTTATCGTAGCAGAATATGTCATCAAACAACACCTTTTAGCAGTTGACAGGGGTTCATCGCAAATTTTTTTTTAGCGCTTATTTACTTCATGGCTTTGTTTTAACGGCATTCGATGGCACCTGACTCCGGCCATGGGAAATGTTTCTGAGCAAATCTCTTTTTAGATCTTCACCACTTGTTGGTATTATAGCTAGACGGTAGTAACTAGCCACAGAATCAAAGGCCTTGGTCGAAACGTCGGAGGCATAAAAGTATGCTTTGTACTAACCATGAAGAGAGAAAGCCAAGAATGAGGAACCGTTTGAATCAGTTATGATCTGAATGGGGTATAAAAAATTGAATAGTATTTGGAAACCAGATCATCAGTCTTCTTCTCTTCTTCTACATCATTATCTCATTCCTCTCGGGACATTTTAGACCAACGCTCTATCTCCGAACAAACAGATCTTTTCATGTATATCTTCAGTAGTTAGTATTGATGACTGAAACTGTTTCATTCTCATAGACTGCGTATAGAAAGGAAAGAACGATACTTAGTTTAGTAGCCAGGAACAAGGAATAAAAAGGATATCGTAGCAAGTACACGCTATATTCAGAAACCTGTCAATCGTCACGGTAAAGAAATCCGTGATTATTCCACGGACAGGGCCAGGATCAATGGTCCAGCCTCAGACGGTTCCCTAGGTCCGCAGGGAAAAAACACCACAAGGTGCAAAACAATATCCTGAACAATTTTAAAGCAAAGCCTAAAAACTAATTCAAACACCCCGTCGCTATGAACTTGATAAAACATATGCTATTCGCCGCAAAGATTTTTTCAAGCGATGTCGGCGGGATTTGAGGACAGCTCAATAATATGCTGGTGACAACCTGCAAATTATTGACCGGGTCATCAGATAGGAGTTATCACCTGGTAGATCTTTGAAATGGTTAAATATCTAGCAATTCGATCCCTCCAATGAGAATCTTAACCTAAAAAAAAGAGACACCTCCTACCTCTGATTTTTGTGATTCCAACTAGTAAAACGCAAATACTCCATCAACACGCCACATCCCAAGAAACCCTTCAGCGTTGTATAGAGGAATACCAGAAGAGCTTGCATGGAATGAATTGAGGTGAAAGTTCTTTTGTCAAGATCACCGTGTCCAGCTAGCATGATAGTCTTCTCCCCCATCTACCTCCCCACTATCATTTATCACCCAGCTCAGTCCTTCTTCCCAGTCCCTTTAGGTTCTTGAGAATGCTCATAATTATCTCCCGCTGTGTCTGCATGTCATTAAGCAATGAAGTGAGAGAGATGATCTTGGCATCAAAATCTCTAGGCTGACGTTCAAGATGAGAGTGATCGTGAGCATTTTCAGCTCTTTTGCAGTCTGGACAGAAGATTTTGCTGCTACCCGTGGGAGTTGTGTTTTTAGTAGTTCCTTTGATACTTTGATGGTCTTATAACAGTTCGGCTCATTAGGTGTGCTGGGCTTTCTGGGGTCTTCCTCGTCCGCGCCGATCTTTGGCTTGTTGCTGAAGCTCGTCTAAATTACAATGTGTATCCTGTACGCCGAAGTGGCAATTGGTGCAAACCGTTGGTTTGTCTGAAGATTTGGGGACCATTGACAAAGGCCAAAGAGCGGGCCGTGTCCTTTGCTGCAGCGTCTTTTGTCGTCAAGCTTGGATCTACCACCTGTGTGTGAATGGCCTTGATGTTGTCTGTCTTGTAGCGAATTATAGTATCACGCTGATCGCCACTTCAAGTCTTGAAAAAGCCGAGGCCAGGCTCTCTACGGTGTTTCATTTGTTTCATGTTGTTAAGCAGGGCTTCTTGTGTCGCATGATCATGGATTCCTTTCGACCAAGGACGTGCGTTGGTTCGCTGTGCCCAGTGCCCTGGAACTTGTTCCGAGTCCAACCCAATGCTTATGTTCTTGATTCAGCTTGTCGATTCTTCGTCGGCTGTTCCGCATTCTCATGAATGCTGTCTGGTGGTTCGTTGTTGTTGGACATGACTAAACACTTACTAGCTTGTCTTTTCAATTTATAGACCTCCCATGATATCCGTTAATTGCTTTGAAGCCCATACCTGATTTCTCAACATTCTCCTTGGGTAATTTTGGTGCTATGACCAGACAAGATGCAACGTATCGGCCGCTGGACTTTGCGCTTGTGAAAATGTTGAGGCGAAGAGAATTGGCGTGGAAGTGAAGCACTGTGAAGAAGAGTGGCATGGATTGATCTGAAAAGAAAACAAGCTCGGTCATATTTGAGTACTACAATTCTAAGTCAAAAGCATGCTAGTTCCGCAGCCTCAACTCAAGTCTACGTGGATTATGCGTCCCCTGCAGATTGTCCCAACTCACTCAGCACGATTCCATTTTATAAATTTCCAGGTCAAATGCCGTCAGATTAGTGTGCTTCGACGGATTTCCGTCTGGGTACGCGGCTTGGATTGACAAAAAGGCCTGGAACTCTGCTACTCAAACAAATGTTCACATAGATAGAAGCGAAGGTTTCAGTTACTCATTGAACTTGCGTCAAGATAGATATGATCCGGAAAATACGACACCTCATTGTTGATATCGCTGAGTCCACTGACTCCACAACTCAATGCCGCACATCAAGTATGCTAGACCTTTGATGTACATCTCAAGTTCAGGTGTCAAGCTTCCCATGCTTTTGTGTCGCATTTCATCAGTGGATTGCTTGAGAGCGAGCTCCAATTCTCGACAGTAGCTATACATCAATCGCTTGCAGGCTGAATGCGGCAGTCCTGTCTCGTTGGCAAGAATGTAGATGGCGGAGACTAGTCGGGCACCATCGGCTGGGTTCGCCTGGTATGCTTTCCATTCTCGCTCCCAGCTATAGATATCATTCATAACACTGGCATGCCGAAATGCGGTGCTTTCTAAAGCGGCGGTCTTTTCGAGTTCAGCGGTAGTAAGATCGAGCTTGGTACCGAATCTGATAAGAGCCGTGTAGAGTCTAGATGGTTGTCAGCACTCAACAATAAAATCCAAAAATGAATTACGCAATAGTGCATACGGTCTGTCCACATCGATCTCCCTGAATTTGAGATATGATCCGAGAGTTTCAATTTTGGTCCTCTCCTGAGATGTTTGGGCCTGCAGAAGTTGACAAAATCCCTGAGCAACATCATATGCCAGAACCTCATCCATGCTTCGCATGACCATGACAGTATCGTGAATCATCCACTCAAGACAGATACTTCTGTCGGGGCTCGCTGTTCCAAGGACAATTTTCATGACCCGGTCCCAATACGACAGCACTTCTGTTAAACTCATTTTTTCAAGTTGATCCATCTCCAAGGTCATTAAATTTCCACGCCCACCCTCCGGCCGCGAGAACTCACCGTCAATAAGTAAAGACAAGTAAAGCATTTTGTATGTCACATCAATGCGATCATCTCGCGTCAACGGAAAGAAGTAACTAAAGGCGCGGGATAACCCAAGACAAAGGAACCCCTTTTTGTCCTTCTCGCTGGCAAAATTCCAATTGTTGCCGAAATAGGGCTCAACTTGAGCTTGAATTCGTACCCATCCTAGTGGATGGGTTTTTGATTCTAGTTGGCTCACTGGAATCTTGCAAGGGACATTTTCAACTGTAGAAAATTGCCTGATCGGTTTGTCGATCGAGTAGACATGGGATGAAAAGATCGGTCGACTAACAGCCAACACCACATCAAATAGGCGTTCATTTGAAAATCTTTATCAGACACTCATTTTTTGAAATTGATAAATTGCAACTTCTATCAATCATTCTACATGGCTCGGCCTTTGGTTTGCGATTGCGAGTCTTTGTAACAGACGCTACACACCTTAACGCACGGACCATCAAACGTGATGTCACCCATCTCGATCAACCGTGGTCCATGTCAACTCTTCTTTTTACGCTTACTTCTAATTCTCCCATGTACAACATATGTACACAGAACATCTATTCGGCATTCTCTCCGTATTGCTATCTGATCTTGCAGGCTGAGTACGATATCAGAATTTAGTTCTCCCCCCCCCCACCCGATCCGACCGTCGGCGTTTGCAAGGCCAAAACCTTCGCACTAAACATATGGTTCTAGCTTCGGCTTCTGTCGGCCATCAAATCTCTCTACAGGCCTTAAGGCACCTCATTGCAATTACAGGATATAGTGGAAGTTCTTCCAGCAGTTCTTTGAGTCTCTCAACAAAGGCAGCCACAATGAGCACACTGTCAGAGAACTCACGTGCCCCATGGCGCGATCTCCTTGACTCTCATCTCAAACAAACACCTGGATATGAATTCACAGTGGCAACAATTGGTTACAATGCTCAACAACGTCCTGTGCCTCGCCTGCGGACTTGCGGCTGTCGTGGTTTCTTCCCAGAACTCGAGCTCCACCCCAAGGGCCAGGAAGCTATGGATCAGCAAGTGGAAGGCGGAGGTAATCCGCCGGTATTTGAAAGTGACATGATCTCATTTACCACTGATGCTCGAATGGACAAGCTTCCTCAACTGGAATCCTCGGGTCATGCAATTGAGGCCGTGTTCTGGCTGAAGGGTCTCATGACTCAGTGGCGTATCAAGGGGTCGGCATATGCAATTGGCAACCCAAGTGAAGAGGATGCGGAAGAGAAGATATCTCGAACCGAGATAAGAAAAGCATTAAGGGTGAAGGGGGATACTGACAGCGACCTTACGAAGTGGACATGGGAAAAGGCTGTCACAAAGTACTTTGCAAACCACTCCCCTGTTGCACGAGGTATGTTGTTTCTATCTTGCTTCTTGGCTTGCTTGTCATCTCCCATCCATAATGACCGGGCATCTAGGTTCTTTCCGAAACCCTTCCCCTGGACAACCTAGATCCTCAACTCCCAGCCAACTGGATCTCAAACTAGGTCAACGGGTTTTGGACCTCCATGACCCTGTTGCACGGGCAAATTTCCGAGTTGTCGTCATTCGACCCGAAGAGGTTGAGCGTCTAGATCTTACTGAACAAGAGAATTGCAAAAGATGGAACTGGACATTGACTGGCGGAATCGACGGTTCTCGGTGGAATGAGATTGAGTTATGGCCGTGATTCTACCAAGAACTGTAAATTCATTTTTTTTTACGTTTTGGATGAACTTGTATCCACACAATATTCCACCGCTGCCTTGAATTGATAATTACATGACTTAGGCTACCTGGGTTAGAAGTTTGTATCCTAGGCTTTAAGGCTCGGATCATCTCTAAAGAAAACAAAGCAAAGTGTTGGTACGTGGGTGTTTGTAAGAAGCTGCATCTGGTGACTGGGATTGTCACATATGCTTGATCTGCTTGGTTTGAGGTGGTCATTTTGCTCTCTGGCTGTCGCGCGCTTGGAGGCACTTTCACTTCTGCCAACTCGTCGTACCTCGACCGCAGCGATTAACACGCGTCACACGCATAGTCAATTAGCTTTCACTTCTCAGTTCATCTTCTTTCATTAACAAAAGTGACTCCCCTCAGAACTAATCTCTTAGCCCGCCTTGTCCAAACATAAAACTGACCACCGACACGCTCAAACAGTGTCTGACACCGAGATGCCCAACGATAACCCTGCTTGTGCTGACTGTAAGGCCAAGAAGAAGCGGTGCATCCACCGCAACCTACCTGCAAAGGTCACCAAGGCTGACGTCCCAGCCAACATGCCTTCCCCCTCCGATCCCACTCCCCCTCCCGTCCCAACCCCTGCTCCCACCTCCGCACCTGTCACTGCTCCCGGTGCCGCCACCAGAGGATGCCGCAAGGTCGCTGAGGCCAAGCTCAAGGTATGTAACATTGACCTGCCTCTGACTTCTCTTTAGCTTTCTGGCAAAGCTAATACATGGATATAGGAGACGAGTCCCGCTCTCGCCGACTCCAGCGACGAGCTTTCTTCCGTGCCCTCCGAGACCGAGCAGAAGCCGGTGGCCAACAAACCCACCAAGAGTAGTCGCCGTGCCAAGCCCGCCGCCGAGCCCCAGAACGGGGCCCTTAACCTCCCCGCCGATAACCTTCAGGCCGCTTCCACTATGTCCGTCCACCGCATCTGGGCCCGCCAGCTGCAGGACGACCTCCAGGAACTTGAGAGGAGCATGGAGGCCTTCACCGAGGCTCACCATGATACCATGGCTGCTGCCCAGGCCATCCAGCGTACTGTCGAGGGCTGGATTCAGACTTGGGCCGCCTCTGGTCGCTAAGCAATCTCGACGTTCATCATCGCACCTTTTCAACTCCTTGGTCCTGGTTTCTTTCATTCTGATGTGTTGGGATAGATATTTGCGGTCGGTTGAGATGTTACTATTTTTGGTCTGAGGTGATTCTTCCCTGATATGGGACGTGCACGATCAGGTCTGGATGATTCATGTGGCTTCAAGCCACGTGAGCCTGGTCGGCACCCATGGATTTGGTTTGTGTTGTTTTCGAGAGCGGTGTTCCGTTCCTGGGCACCTTTAATCCATGGATTTTCGAACTCGAATCGTTGTAATCGCAAATACCTTTACGTTCGACTTGTATATTCCCTCGTTGTAGGCTGCCATGATTCGCTCCCAGCCTTGGATTCCACAAATTCCCCTTCACGATCGGTGCTGATATGTCACGTGTAAAGTCTAGACCTTCAATGTCGTTAAAAAAATCTATTTGGAATCGAATCTGGAGGGTCGGGCACCTGATATGAAAACAGGGAAGTACCCAGGACTATACGGAGTATTCCGTACATTGGATTGAATGTGCATTAGGGGAAGTTTATGATATCAATCCCTGACTCTCAATTAACCCTCAACCAACCGTTGGCTGCCAAAGTGGGACCCCAGTCACCAACCAGGGACTCTCCCGGGTCTTCCGCGGGAGGGATCGTCCGGCCCCCAATGGTGTACCAGAATCTCCCCATTTGTTGGTATTTGAATTTCACAATACACAGTCTTCTCATATTCTCTGTGATCCCCGAGTCCCCGATTTTTGGTCCCCGAAGTGGACTGTGGCGTGTCAAACCTTTCAAAAACATGTGTTGATATCTACAGGGTTCTGGGTGAAATTATCAGTCTTTTCTGTTCCGGCCTGGCCTAATTTAACAGTCAGGAATCACCCCATATCTTTCCGTTGCCGGGAGACTTGACTCTCCGAGGAATGGCTTAGATGCTGTCTTTGGATGATATTGGTCTTCTGTCACACTGAGCATCATGAAACTCTTTGGAGCCTGTGCAAAACTTATTACGTCTGATGGTCAACCTACTCCATACATAGAGTCAGCTAATATGGTCATGTTGCACGGAGTTCTCCGTTCGCTCAGTCCCTCTAGTCTGCATTTACTGACACTGACACATGCAGCAATCTATCTCACCGCTCGAATGACTATGGTACAAGCGATCCAATCACCTAAAAATCCTAAAAAGAACCGAAGTTGCAGATGCAGTTGGCCCTATGTGCAGGATTCCGGCTATCAAATACATCTCGTACCATAACTGCGCCCCATTTTAAATTTTAATCAAAAAGGGCCCACCGAACAAAGTATTTACCATACCAATACCAATACCAGTCCTGTTCTCTATTTCTGTGCCTGTTCACTTCCCCTCTTCACACTCTGCTTCACCGTCACTTGCATTTTTAACTGCAGATCCTATCCAACGCACAACTCATTGAGGGGTTACTAAACACTTCTCTTCCACCCGCACCGCGATCTCCCTCGTCCGTCACTTTTTTTTTCTCTCCGCGAACATTAGCGATTCTGGTTAAACTCACGATTTACGACGAAACGAAACTCGGAAATACCTGCTCGAATTTAATACTTTGACTGTTGATACTTTGGATACCAAACTGTGGATGTACGACAACCCCCCTCAGGGATTCAACCATCAAATTTGCTATCATGGCCACGGCATCGATGGATGCACTAGGGGCCTTCACCCACATGAAAGACAATATTCCTGCATGGATCACTCGCGTCTCGGAGCTCGCTACACACACTCACAAAAGACACAATGAATACTCCGAAGCTTACAGACGCCACGCAAATTTGAAGCTCCGCCGACGCAAAAATAGTTCTATTCGCTCTATCCATACTAATGATCTCGTCCCGATCGCACAACGAAAGGTCCCCAGCCCAGAACCACCGGCAGTTGAAATACCACAGGATGCGCCCGAGCAGATTCAACGTTCAGATCGCAAGCGCACTATAGATGAGGCTCCATCAGTCGAGTCCAACAAAGAATACAACATGTTAGTAAGCACACGGCACAATGTCATCATTGAGTATGATGGTCATACACAGCAGACACTCGAGACGATTGCACGCGATATCGGAGTGGCCAGGAACAATCTCCGCCGAGGGCAGATGTCCTTGATGCCCCGTACAGGGCTGCGCTCGGGCTTTTTGAGCAAAGGCATGATGAATATGCCAGGTGGACTAGGACAGACAGGGTCACTCTCTTATGTTCGCAGCACCCGGACCACAAGTGGAGTTGTCGGCATCTCTGGTACCAGTGCACTCCGAAAAGACTCCACATTTGACTTTGCAGACAAGCAACTGGAACTTGCCCATTCGCTTTGTGAAACGGCGGCGTACCAAGTCCTTCGATCTGGCGACTGTGGCACGGAACTGGACGGCGTGGAGGAGAAATTCAAGATGCTACTTGAGGCGGCTATCAACGAGGTCGACCGTCTTCTGGCAGAGAAGAAACACCAAGAAGAACACAAGCAAAAGCAACAGGAAGGGACCGCGGAAGGACCCCCCAAGCCGCTCCCTTCCCCCTCGGCGGCCCGACTGGCAATGGTTGCTGCCATGGCTGCGAACAAGCCCTCAATGACCACGGCAGGCGCCATTGAAGTCGATGATAACTCGTCTTTCTCGGCTGAGTCCATTGACATCTCTGCGTTCCGATCCTCCCAGATCCGAGTCTGAATACGGCGCAACCAATACTTGACCTCCTATTAGCGATTTTAGCGTTTGTTGAAATTCTTCCAGCAAAAATCTTTCCAGCCGGCTGATACCTTTGATCTGTTGAGATCATTTTCTTCTCTTTGATTAGCCTCCTTTTTTTCATTTGCCTTGGTGCATCTTTACTTGCGAACTGATTTGCAGTCACGGGCGCGCATACCAATTCCAACCCTCATTCCCTAATTTGCGATCCATGTTCTACTCCTTGCTGTCTTACATCTTTCGACATTGCCGTTCTTGTTTGGGGTTCATATCTCCTGCCTGTCTCTTGCATCAGCTCACGACTCATTCCCAAGGTAGCACGGCGTTGGAATCGGCGTTTTTTGTTCTTCTTTATACTTCTACTTCTGTCTTTGCCCACTGAGTTTCCTGGGCCTCTCTGCATTCATACATTCGTTCATTCTTGGGTATATATATTTATTGCAGCAATTTGAGTTTTCCATGGATTTTTCAGCTTTGTTCGTCAGATTTGCATGCATCTATAGATTACTCTACCACATATGAAGAATTGTACGCGGTACGGAGTACGGACTTCTCCGTATTTTGAAGGCGTGATGGCCCCGGCACTCCATGACCAATTGAGTCAAGTTTCAGCCAATAATGTGAAATTTACAAATGACCCTCGGTTCCCCTTACCAGGCTTGATTTCCTTGTAATACGTCTGGGCGTTGCTTGGCAATGGTCCCAATGCATGACCGTTGCGTCTCGGTACGGGACGAAGGCAACGGCATGCAGATCTTTCGGTCGATTCGCCAAGCAAGCGAAGTCGCTATTGGTGACTGCTCTCTAACCTTCCTAGTTAAGTAAACAGTCTGGTAAGATATCTTTCAGCGTGGAGACCACCTTTGCAAGTGGGGGGAACCTTGGGGGTTTAAGTTCGATTGTCTACTCCGTACACTCCGTACACTCCGTATGGAGTAATAAACAACAATCTATTTTGTGCTCCATACAACAAAGTATCACCCGTGGGAGCTGCCGCTCAGATCAACCTTTTGTTTCCCCACGGTCGGCAGCCACGAGGGCTAAGGCGGTAATCTCCTCAAGTGTCATATTACTGCTTTGCATGTAAGCTTGCATGGCACATATTGCTGCGGAATAAGTTCCATGTTACATTATGCGACCCTTTAAAGGTGCCTACTTCATGCGACTAAGGAAGCACCTATCTAGTTTCCGGTGTACGGAACATTTGTGGACATGATATTACGCATGGTCTAGACTCATGTTCTTTCGGTGGATCACGGTGTGGCGGCTGTAATAATACAATACATGTGGATATTACACACACCACCTTACAACTTGAATATTACATGCCTGCAAATGTAGAGGGATCTTGCTTCTCGAACAGAAGTACGTACGAACGAACGGATTACTCCGTACAGCGTAACTCGCGCACATCCTGGAATACAAGTATAACATTCCTTCCTCGTCTAGAGATATCAGAAGATCTCAATGCAACCGATCGTTTGAAAAAAAGAGAGAGAAAATTAATTGAAAAATGATCAACATCAAAGCTGACACAATTATTTTTGTGGTAATACTTCAATGCAGTAATTTAGCATGTACGGAGTACTGTTTACTAAACCCCCGCTCATCTCCTTGGATGCCGATCAACTCGCTGTCAACTTTACCTTCCCGTTTTGGGTGGTACTGATCATTAGTCGTTGTTTTTTTTTCGGGAGAAAAAGTACAATGCAGGAGGGAGGGGTGGGGAGAAAAACTCGAGTTTTCCAACTCCGCACATATAAAAAAATGTTTTTAAAGACGATCTGCTATGTCGAATACAAAATGCTAAATCTCCAGGAAATAAAGTCTGTCCTACCCCTTAATTGGAGATGCCATGATGTCTAAATGTTAGGACATGAACAACAACCAGCGTAATTTCAAACCTAACTTTTTATTCCAATTTGATATTATCGTCCCCATCCCGGCTAGCCAGAATTGACGGGCGTCGAGGGATATACGGGAGGGCCCCAGTTAAACCCAGAAAACCAAAAAAAATCTTTCATAACGCTTGACAATGGCCCTTTGTATGTTACATACAGAGTATTCCGTACTCTGTGTTTAGTACTACTTTCACAACAAGGATGTAAATAAGGTACAGATCCCATAGTAGCCTCCTGCCTATCTGAGCAAGAGGATCCCGGGATTCTGTAGGTTGCTAACAAACAGGGAATATTCTGTAAGTTTCCGATTATTCCGATTGTTTCAGGGGATATATGTTTGTAATTTTGGATGTGATGTCTAAATTGTGGCAGGGTCAAATCTCGCTTGTAAATTTACTCGGAACTCCATACTCCATACAACATGGCGTGATGGTACACAACATAAACTTTGTGCGGGTACTTGATTGTCAAAAGGTAAAATCCACTTTAAAGAAGCTTACTTGCAGTGGAATGGGGGTGAGAAGTTTGATTCTGTGGTCTGTGGATTAAATACGAGCGCTGACAGCAACCCAGTATCGGTGACCTCTGTGGTCCCTGACAAGTAATCGTGCCAAGCGCCCAACACACCTTCGTGTATTGGTGCGCCCCACTCAACGATAATTCTCACTCAACGATAATTTTCGAGGTAATGAATGCATTCAACTCCATATTTACATAGAACCACCATAACTATCTACATACCAATTTCCACCATTGCTATCTCTTGCCGCCATTAAAGCTTTATGTTCAGTATCAGCTGGATCCCTAGCCTTTCGGGCCTGTTGTGTAGCTTCTAAATCCTTGGCATGTTTTGCATGTATGCGCTTCAACTTTTTAGAATCAGCCTCTCGCCTAGCCACCATCTTCCTATTTGCGCATATAGGTGATAGTACCGAGGCCCTAGATCCAAGAATAGATCTACCATTTCTCGGGGCATTTGCAGTAGAAATGGCCATACGAGCCTTCTTTAATTCGGCCCTTATGTTACGCACTGCCTAACTGGTCACAGTTATGTTGGAGCTTCCCTGATTATACTTGCCTGTGCTGATCCTCCAACGTCAACGATCTGCCTCTCAACCGAGCTGTTGCTGCGCACAGTCTTATTCCAGCCTAAGTCCTTTTGAGGGTATCGAGGAACGATGCCAGGTAGAGCGCCGAGTAGATCTATACCGCAGTATTGGTCTGCTCGTAGGTGTTGTCAAGTGATAATGTAG